ATAATTAATTTATGATCCATTTAACAATCACTGTACTAGTTAATAGTTGTTGTATTGATAGTAATAATGATAGTAGTAGTAACAACAGTTAACATCAATGTATCTATCTATCTATGATAACCAACAATAGTAGTAATAGCTAATCAATTTACATCTGATCTATATAGGTTCAATTTTATGATAAAGCTATAATTCTTCATCAAGAACATATGTTATCAGCTGTGCACAATGAATATCCATCATTTAATCATCCATATATATATATATTTCCAAAATGTTAACCTTAAATCTTATCTAAAATTTAAAGAAAAAAACTTAATTTAAATTTATGTGAAAAATATTTATTACTCCAAAAATTTAATATATTTAAAGTTAAAATTATTCTCGAGAGAAATAATTAAATTTTAAATAAGAAAACTTATAATTAATAAATTAAATATATGATTAAATGACGAAAATAATTAATTATGAATAATATTTGGTTCATGATTTTTTTTTTTGGAAAAACCGAGAAGTTTTTTTTTTTTACTTCAATCATTAATTTGTTTAATAAATTTACTTCATTTCAGTGTTTGTCTTTGTCCAAAATTAAATTAAATTAAATTAAATCAATAATTGTTTTCAAAAATAATTAATTATGAATAATATTTGGTTCATGATTTCTTTTTTTTCTTTTTCTGGAAAAACCTAGAAGTTTTTTTTTTTTACTTCAATTATTAATTTGTTTAATAAATTTACTTCATTGCAGTGTTTATTTTTGTTTGAAATTAAATTAAATTAAATCAATAATTGTTTTCAAACTTATTGAAAACATAAAGAAGCATAAAATTTAATAGTTTTTCAAAGGGTTGAATAAATTCAAGATATTTAAATTTCATTTTTTTTTTCACGGAAATACTTTTTTTTTTATTTCTTCCATTATTGGAAAATAATCGCCGAAAAAAAATAATTACTTTTAAAATGATGTTGACCTTGTCTTTCAAACCGTTCTAGTCGACCAATTTCAAAAGTCCCCTTTCATCCATTTTGTATTCGTCAATATATCTGTGACATTTAATGAGACAGGGAAAGGCGTCTTTTATTATTTCATACCATTAACCTTGTCCAGTTATTTAGTTCAACAGATATAACAAATCATTTGAACGGAAACTGATTAACAGGTTTAAATTAATTAATGATTCATGTAATTTCATTTTATCAGTTAAGCAATCTTAGATGCTTTTAACCATTTATTTTTTTATCGATTTAAATTTTATAATGAATTATAAAAGTTAAAATTTAATTTGTTTAAAAATTGATTGATGTAGCAATTTGTATATTAATAATATTAAATCAATTCTGCGAATTGGAGGGAAATAATTGAATTGAATTGAATTATTATCATTTTGTTATAAATATTTTGATGGAAATTATCATTTTTCATTTTCCTCTTTCTATGAAAGAAAGAGAAAGGAAGAGAGAGAGAAAGAGAGTGGGAGAAAAAGGTAAAAAAAGAAATTTCTA